GACCTCTACCCATGGACCAACCTGGTATGAGAGACTCTGTGAGCATCGTGCGGACACTCCCCAGTATAGCTCAATGGGTCGCCGAGGTACACAAACCGCCACACCACGGTAAGGTCCAGTTTCTTCGTGACCATGCCACCCGAAGGCTGGAAAACTTCAAGGTTTCCCATGGACAGACAGGGGAATTCGAGAAGCAGAGGTCAAGTTCGAACGACGACCTTCAGGTCAGAAAATTCGCGCCCTACCCACTTGATCTCGCTGACAATTCTTCGTGACCATGCCACCCGAAGGCTGGAAAACTTCAAGGTTTCCCAAGCCTGGACAGGGGAATTCGAGAAGCAGAGGTCAAGTTCGAACGACGACCTTCAGGTCAGAAAATTCGCGCCCTACCCACTTGATCCATCTCGCTGACAAATCAACACTAAAGTGGATAATTTTTGTGCTGTCTTTTCAAGTCTGTTTCACTTAAGCCAACTGCCAGTATTCCCTCTTCAAACGTCTGCCGAAATTTCAAAAACCAGTCTGCTGAGGACTTCAGTGGATGTTCATCATATCGAGACTCTGGTTGAGTATCTACGTGAAAGTGAAGCGCGTAGCCATTGAGACTAGTGGATCCAGAAATCAAAAGAAACTATCAAAACCAGCTCCTCAAACGCCTGCCGGACGGTCCGATGTTGGATATAAATGGTCACTGGGAAATAATACCCAAGGTGTTAGGCAGAAACGGAGCCTCCGTTTACGGTACACCTCAGCTAACCTTATCCAATCTTTGATAGGACCATGTCTTTGCAACATAGCGACAGATTTCTCATGACCACAGTCACACACCCCCCCACCTGAAGCCTCACTGGACGCCAGGTGAAACAAGGTGTCCGAGGACACTAAGAACCTTGGTTGATCCGAAAGGTCGACGAAATGGTGTATGCAAAAAGTGCTGGAGACGGCCGCAAGCTGTTGCACTTGGTTTGTTTGACTGGTCCTCGGAAGCCTGTTTTAAGTGAAATAACCAGGGACCAAAATGGCTCCCCGACATCCAGCAAAGCGAAGTTCGGCCTGCTCCGCACAGTACTTCGAACAGCAATTCAGTTGGCCATGTGCTACCTCCAATCCGGAATCCTGGCCTTCAACAGAGAGGCGGACTGTGCATATGTGGAGCCGCCTGCAACATCAGAAGTGTACGAGTGTATATCTCTACTCAAGCGTCATCGTGCTCCTGGCCCTGACGACCTTCTTCTAACGACCTCTGTTCAAGGATAGCGGTCGGTTTCTCAGCCCGAGCCCCTTTAGCATATTTGGGCCTGTTTTAGAGAAGTAGACCGCCACAGACAAGTGGGATGAATCGATAATAGTAGTACTCACAGTGGACATAATACTCAGAGATTTTAGTTTGATGTCTGCAATGACAAGGCCTCTGGTGTCACTGATTCTTCGCTTCTTACGGTAGCATGCGAAACCTTGACCCGTGAGAGTCAAGCGGGATTTCGACAAGATAGAGACTGTGTTGACCACTGCATTGAACTCTGTCGATCTGGAGTACGCAGACAATATCACCCTTATCTCTGAAGACCAGTGCCAAGCCCTGTTGAATAGACTGACCACACTAACACCACCTGCCAGTCTCAAGTCAGAGCAACAAGCCATTACACCAGCAGACTACGCCGAGGATAAAGACTCAGGTTCAGTTCAGTTGTTTAGCTCACGGCAGTGGATCCTGCTGCTATGACTTAGTTCACCGACAAGCGAATGACAGCTACACACTGAGGGTGACAGACCGATCAGTTAACTGCTGTCGAGTGGTTCTTTACTAGGTACAGTACGGACTGAGAGCTATGGAAGCAAACTGGTAGTCTTAAAATAAGAGCGCCGTTGGCTGCATAACAATGTCATACTGTCAGGGTTACTAACCATCCCATTGTCGCCATCTGGAGGACGGCAGTCAACAAGAGACTGAGTTGACTTAAAAGAACGAATTTACCTGCACCAAATATGACGAATTACAACGCGACTAAACCTAGCCCTGGTGAGAAACAAAAGGTGACCGACACAGATTTGTAAAAAGACGTTTGAGACTATTATCACGTTTTGGATATAAACTGGATATGTGGCAGCGTCATGCCTCGCACGAAGCGTTAGTACACCCGCGCCATAATGTCTCCACTGTTTTGTTTGAACACTTCTTGATGAATGAGGGTTATCCCTGATAAACAACGCTTTTCACGGGAACAGAGATACAGTTTGCAGGTGAATAAGGAAATATACACAAAAGGCATCTGCGCTCCAACTAGCGCGTGTCCTCATGGAAGTGAGCAGAAGAAAGAAAGAAAGCGTTCAGCTGTAGCACCCTTCCGGTGCCTAGCTGCCATGCCACCCGAAGGGAGCACGAGGGCTGGGATACTGCCAGGTTGCCCAAGCCTAGGCAGGGGAAGTCGAGTGGCGGAGGTCGGATTCGAACCACGGACCTTCAGGTTAGTAAACTCGCGCTCTAACCACTTCGGCAGAGGAATGACACAGGGGATAATATGTAGACGTAGCGGCCCAATCAGGCGTGGAACCTCAGGTCGACATTAGAACACCGGCGCAATCAACTGCGACATTTACCGTATTTGGACTTTGTAATAGAGGATCCGGGAATGCAGCTAAAATCTGCCGGTCGGCTTGCGAATATCACAGCAAACTGCCGCACTTAGCCCAACTTCAAACATGAAGGGCCAGGAGGCTGCTCACCGAACACCCACTCAAAGTCCAACCTGGTAGAAGACACTGCGGATAGTGCATAGAGAACCTCCAGTACAGTAGACAAGGTAGATAATTGTCGCACAACGATAAAATCGTCTCTTCATGATAAGGGAGGTATATGGGGCCTTTACGGGCCAGACACTTCCGTCAACCTAGCACTTGGATTCATCATATCCACCCACCAGATACCGCGCAGGCCAATTACCACCCCCTGATGAATCTCGTG